AGTTTTACATAAATGAAAAAAGAAAGCATGGTGAGTGATTGCGTGAGCTAGGGATGGATAGAAGGAGGGAGGGAGGGAGGGAGGGAGGAGGGGAAGCAGCACCTGCTATACTCTCCCTGCCAACCCTGATGGACAGAGGAGAATGCACTGCCCTTTGATGGACGGAGGCAGCCAGAGGCCAAGTGGGAGGATTTGCTTGTCCTCAGTAGAGGCTGGTTTCTCCCATGTCTGGAGTATTCCCTAAACCCAGAACGAATCTCCTCGTTTCCTTTTCACTGGATGCTTGTGGAAAAATATCACAGCAGGTATAACACTGGCTAAAATTTCTCTCTGGGATTAGCTATTCCCGTGGGGGCTCTGAATCCCTGCTGTTGCTTTTTCTGCTGAGTTATCCAAAGCCTGGTTGTTTCACATGGTCACCAGGGAGGCTGGTGGTCCACAGTCACACCTCCCCCACAACAACAGTGAGCCTATGGCTAGTTGTGAGGGTGCATCCAGGTCTCCGTGGGGCGAGGGAGGATCCGCTAAATTGATGTCTGGGAACTGTGGGTTTAAGTAAGATGCGGACACAATAATAAAGCCAGTGCCTGTGACTGAGCAGCCAATCTGAGGAGGAAACAGGACTGCAGGCAGGGCTCTGTTGTTTTTCACCACATGCTGGGGCAAAGGAAGAAAAACAGAGACGCTTTACTTATTTATAATTTACAATCTGCCGAATAGCAGGGCATCTTGCCAAAGCTCAACTCCACAGCGTCTCACCTCCAAGCCCTCTATGGCTTTTAAATCTAACGGGTGGAGTTTAGCACACACCTCGTGATTGGGACCGGGCCACTGAGTCCCAGGCTCAACCCTCCCTTTGAGGCAACAGAGAAGTTACCACCGTGGATCTGAAGTACAGTTCCTTTAGGCTTAAGCAACAAAGACAATGGTGCCCAGGACTTAGATGTGTCCAGGTGCCTGACAGTCTGCATCTTTTTGTTTTGTTAATCCTCACCTGAGGATATTTTTCCATTGATTTTTATTTTTATTATTAATATTTTAAAATTGATTTTTAGAGAGAGTGGAAAAGAGAGGGAGAAACAGAGAGATAAATATCAATGTGAGGGAGACACATCAATGGGTTGCCTCCCGCAGCAGCATGATCTGGGCCCGGGATTGAGCCTGCAACTGAGGTCACTGCCCTTGACTGGAATTGAACCCGGAACCCTTCAGTCCGTGGGCTGACGTTCTATTCACTGAGCCAAACTGGCTAGGGCCAGCCTGTATCTTTAAGTGCCCAGTAAGTGGGTGCAAGCTAAAATCCTCAGGGTGCAGTGGAGGAAAGGAGAGAGTGAATTCCTATTTTGTGTGAAAGGAGAGGATACTGCAGAACAGGTTTACCAAGGGAATCATGCGGGTCCCAGGGGGCCTCCCAAAGTAGGGATGATAGGCTGCTGCCTGTCATCTCTGTGGCCAGTGGTGTGGAATCTGTCCTGTGGCGCTGGGAGGGGCACCCACTGGGCAGTGCAAGCATTTCGGTCTCCCTGTCTTCTCAATGTGCCTGTTGCTATGGTTATGAGAAAGGCTCCACTTAACTCGCATGCTGGTTCACCTGTTCACGTGCTTAGCAGGAAAGGAACCTGAATGTCAAGGCTCTTACTCAGGCTGCCTGAGGTAAGAAGGCCCCTCCTGTCCCCTCCCAACCTCCCCTTCTCTGCTGTATTGATTTTCCACCGCCTTTACCTTCCTGAGGAGATTAGATCAAGTGGCCTCAGCCAAGCTTTTTATCCAGATGTTGCTTCTTGGCCCCCACAGCAGGAAACCACCCCATCTCCCAGCTTCGGCAGCCACAGTGAACAGCGGCTCCACTGCTGTGCATCGCCCCCACTCCCCTTCCACTACCTGCTTTTGCCTCTGTGATTGCTGAACCCTAAGCAACGACAGACTCAGGGGAAAAAAAATTTTTTTCACATGCTTGTTTTTAAATAAAAAAAATTATTATTGATTTCAGAGAGGAAGGGAGAGGGTGAAAGAGATAGAAACATCAATGATGAGAGAGAATCATTGATCGGCTGCCTCCAGCAGGCTCCACACTAGGGATTGAGCTCTCAACCTGGGCATGTGCCCTGACCTGGAATCGAACGTGACCTCCTGGTTTGTAGGTCAACACTCAACCTCTGCCATGTTGGCTGGGCCTTTTACATGCTTTAAAAGCCCCAGCTCCTTGATTCACGCTGCCAGGGACACTCCCTGCAGGGGAAAATGAAACAGTGCCAGTCCTTGAGGAACCTTTCCGTAGAGTTGGGCTTTGAGTTGTCCTAGTGTTAAAGTCATGAGCACTTCTAGGCTTGGGGTGCATGGAGCGAAGTATTTCTCTTGGTGCAGGGACACCTTGCTCCAGGTCCCCTCAAGTGGCAGACTGTGCACGTGGAGGGGGACCCTGGAGAGTTATCCAAGGCAGAGGGTCGTCACATGCTCTGCTCTGATTTGGACCTCAACAGCTCCCATCTGCTCAGCAGCCACCTGGGCCCGGCCCTCCTTGGTGTGCTGGGGATACTGGAACAACAGTTAGGATGTGGTTTCTGCCTTCATATGCTTCCCAGTCCCAGTGGGGAAGCAATCAGGGCAAATCACAAGCAAATCATGCAAGACAGTGGCATTGAGTGCCTTGCAAGGGGCTCAGAAATGAAGTGTTACAGGTCAGGAGTGGGAAGGAGAGGGGGAATGGAATAGGAAAGGGAAGCTTCTAGAGACCTTGAAGGGGGGTTAGGAAGAAGGGAGAGCATTTGGGAAGAGGGAAGTGGGAATAGTGGGTAGAGGAGAATGGCTGCCTTGTCCCCATCACTGTCATTCGGCGATGGAGTCCAGGGTTGAAGGCTGATGCCACTCCGGAGGACCACGTAGGAGTTCCGGCTTTACCAATGGCAGGGGACACAGAACTTGTGTAGGGACAGGGTTGGCAAAACCCAAAAGAGCCAGGTAGTAAATAGTACACTTCTCTGCCCCTCTTTGCCTGGCTCTTCTTTGGCTGTAGAGATGGGCCCTGGGCTGGCATGGCCTCTGTGTGTGCATGGTGTGCATATGGTATGCACATGTGTAGGAGTGTACATGATGGAGGAGGTGTGGCCCAGCCTGGAGTGAGTCACCTGCAGACCACAGACCTGCAGACAGAGCAAGATGCTTATTACATTCCCTTAACTGACATTTATTTTCTTTATTTTTTTTAAAAAATATATTTTTTATTGATTTCAGAGAGGAAGGGAGAGGGAGAGGTAGGAACACCAATGATGAGAGAGAATCATTGATCGGCTGCCTCCTGCATGCCCCCTACTGGGGATCAAGCCCACAACCTGGGCATGTGCCTTGATCAGGAATTGAACTGTGACCTCCTAGTTCATAGGTCATTTATTTTCAGTGTCAAACTTTGCACAATGCAATATTTCAGCTAGAGAAGGAACCTTATAAACAATCTGGTCTGTCCCACTTCTTTTACAGAGGAGCAAACGGAGGCCAGGAGAAGAGAGGTGGTATATCCAAGGTCACACCCCCGTTAAAGTAATCCAGGACTGTGCTTGCTTCCCCTGACTCCAGCCTGGATTTCCTCCTGTGTTGCCTTTTGCTCCTTCTGCATGAAAGTCTCCCAGTTCTCATTAAGCTGCCCTTTACCCCGCCTCCGGAGGCACAACCCTGCCACATTAGTTTATCCAAATCCAGAATCCAGTCTGCCCAGGAAGGCTGCCTCCTGGCTCTCCATTATGCTTACGAAGCCCTGATCTGTCTCCTCCAATTTGATTTTACTCATTTCAACCTGTGTTTATTGCAAATGTGAAGTCTGTGTAGGCAAATGGGATACAGCACTATGATGAATAGGTTTCTATATACCAGTAGTTCTCAACCTTGGCTGCACATTAGAATCACCTAGGAATCTTTTTAAAATCCTGATTTCTGGGCCTCATCCTCTGGACATTCTGTTTCTTTGTTATGGGTTGGGGCCACAACATTAGTAACAAAGAAACAGAATTTCCGGAGGATGAGGCCCGGAAATCAGGATTTTAAAAAGATTCCCAGAGGATTCTAATGTGCAGCTAAGGTTGAGAACCACTGCTATATACGAACATCTCACTGTCTAGAGGGGAAACTGAAACACGTATAATCCAGTGTCCTAGTGCTATCACTCATTCATCATCCATTCACTCATTAATTCATTCCTCCATTCACTTGACAAATATTTGACAGGCAGGCATTGTGCTAAGACACTGGGATCTTTACCGATTGGTTTTCCAGTCCATTGGGGGAGAATCAGTAATCACGTAAGCAAATCATTTTTAAA